ACACACACACACACACACACACACACACACACACACACACACACACATATTCCCATGCAGTCATTTAAAGACTTCTAATCCCATATGTCTTTAGCATATTTTCAGTAACTGCCACTATGTTTGTATCACCATATACAAACGGTCTGTGTTGTTAAATTATGGTTTATTTGTGTTTTTGCTGCCCCCTATGGTTGACAATCTGCACGTGTTTTTTCAAACATCTAACTGGGATCATGTGACGCTTATGTAAATCTGTTATGCACCACAGAGCCAAAAATAATTTAAACAGAAATGGTAAAATGGGACTGTTTTTTTTCTTCTTTTGGCCACTTAGTTCATTGTAACAGCCAAGTGATAAGTTAGTGAACAATTATGTTGCCAATTTCCAGCAGACACAGATTAGTATTTATTTTTGTGGCTGTATCAGAGGACCAATTAACTTGTTTTGGTTCTGAAAGGAAAATCTAAAAAATAAAAAAAATAAAAAAATAAAAGGCTTATCTCCAAGTTCCCCACTGATAAAAAAATCTACATTACTGTGATGTTTTAAAAAGTTGTATTTATTTAATGCAATGTCAAAGTGGCAGCGTAATAATGTTCCCACAGTGACAAATATTCAGAATGTATGTTGTTTTTTTTTCTTTCTTCACCTGTTCATTATAGCATTGTTTGCCAGGATAGCTTCTTTATTATGAGTATAATGATAGCGTTTCAGCATATTTCATAATTTTTTCCTAAAATCACTTTCTGAAAAACAGTCATCTTTTAAATTACATTTCAGTTGGGACAGTAAAATAACATTTCCGTGCCAATCATATTAATAATCTTGAAAATTGTGATTCAGAACATCCATCCATCATCTTTACCCACTTCTTCCTTTATTAATCTTTTCTGTGCCAAATGATGTAGACTTTTGTGTGCTTCACATCAGGGCTGCTAATATTTGAACAGAATTTAATAATATTTTAATTTGTGCAATTTAAACTGACACGCCCAGTTTTGTGGGAACCTCCATCAAGATTTCTCCTCAGAAATGCTCCATTTTTGAAACCTGCATTAAAAATATTACCATCCATCCATTACTTTTACCTGCTTCTTCAGAAATTATATTTTAAATACTTAAAATGGGTTTGGTGATACATGCTTCAGGTTCTTTTTGTGCCTTACTTGTGGAGACTCAAGGTAAGATCTGCGACTAGTTGAGCTGTCATGAAGGAGTCTCAAGAAATGTTTTTGCAACCTTCATTCAATTTCTTCACCTGTTGCATTGGAGTAGTTCTGTTATCAATGTTCTAAACACGTTCAAAACATTTGTGCAACAAATTATATATCCAAAGTAGTTTCATAGTTGATACAAGCATCTAGAACCCACCTGAATTTTTGTCGTGGTCATCTCCATCTCATGCCGAGTGCTAAGGCTGTATTTTGATACCTGAATGGTAGCTTTCCTCTGAGAGAAAACATGTGAGGCAAATGTCCCAGTCTAAAAACTACGCTGATGAACAATTATTGTTGGAACACATTTACTCTATTTAGGCAATTAGTAAATTAAGTGAGTAAATTAGAAATTTACTCTAATTTTTTCTATTGTCATTTTAATCATTACTATTTAAAAGTTGGATTTTTTGAAGAGGTGAATGATCTCAGTTGGAAAAATCTCAAATAAACTATTATTAGGGAATCAAGCTAACAGCTAGTCAGACTGGGGCTTAATCCAGGACCGATTTTAGACATCTAACACAAGTCAAACCTCAATAATCTCCTCAGCAAGATTTATACACTGCTCAGTTCATACCATGAGACGAGTTTGGACTTCCTAAAACTAAAATGGGAAACGGACTTGGAGGAATCCATATCAGACTCAACCTGGATAAGGATCATTCAGAACTTTTACTCATCCTCAAGCTGTCTGAGACATGCTGTAATTCAATTCAAGGTGGTGCACCGGCTGCACTGGTCCAAAGACAAGTTGTCCAAGATCAAAGCCGACCCGGACCCTGCATGTAATCATTGTAAATAATCTCCAGCTACACTCTTGCATACGTTCTGGACCTGTCCAAAGCTGCAGACTTTTTGGCAATCTATTTTTGATGCCTTCTCTGGGATATGTGGCAAAATTGTTCACCCATCATCACTCATCTCACTGTTCGGGGTGGTTCCTGTAGATACGTCCTTCAGCAAGTACGAGAAGGATGTGATTGCTTTTGGATCTCTTCTGGCCAGGAGACCTGTCTTGTGCAGTTGGAAGGACCCACACACCCGAGCATATGTTCACTGGTTAAGAGAAGTGATGTATCATATTCATTTGGAAAAAATCAGATATACCATGAAGGGTTCTGTTTAAAGATTTTGGGACACTTGGCAGCCTTTTATGTTGTATGTGGAAAACTTGTCGATGCCTGTTTAGTTTATTTGTGTGTGCATGTCTGCTCCGGTGTGGGAGGTTTTCTTTGTTCTTTGTGTTCTCCTTTTTGTTTGTATGTTTGTTTTTGGGTTTTTTTAAAGACTGTGATTAAAAAATGTCATAATGATTCAAGCAAACACTATGTTATAGATCTTTACACCTCATTGCTTTTGTATTGAATCTTTATATGGACTGTACTGGTTTTACAGCGGGCAGCACAGTGGCGCAACTGGTAGAGCTGCTGCCTCTCAGCGAGCAGGTCCTTGGTTCAAACCCCGGTCCAGGGGCCTTTCTGGGTG